AAACTTTCTGTGGCACACCCACCATTCAAGACCTTTAAAATTCTAAAGGATAACCATCTTCTGAAGTGGTGAGGGGACCAGAAGGTCACAAATCCAATCATTCTTTTGGGGGTGGAGGTGGGAATTGGCCAGTGTGGTATCATTTACTTTAAAATAATTTAAAAGGGCTGGCTGAGTAGCTCAGTTGGTTAAGAGCTCGCTCAAGAGTGTGAGCTCTGAGCGACAGCGGTTCGAGTCCTGGCCTGAGCTGAGCTGCTGCTGAGCTGCCAACAGGTGGCAGGATGGCTCAGCTAAAAAAAGAATTTAAAAACCAGTGTTGATTGTTAATGATAACACCACATAGGGCTGCTCTTTGGAAGGTGGTCTGATGGCCAAGAGGAATCCATCCATTATGCGGAAACAATGGCTATGATTACAGGGTTCCCAACTTCTTTCCCTTAGTAAGCACCGTTTACATTTGAGTAGAGGCTGCAGCTTTGGGGCACACTAGAACCACTAGAGTGGAGTCAAGGGGGAATTAAAGATGGAAAGTAGTTTCAGAGTTAGGATGCCCTGTGCCTTATAATGGCCCAAACAGCTACCGGAGCCTCTCTTCACTGATTTGGGGACTGGCTCAAGATTATGTATATGTTAAGAGAAGACTATAGTGGTGAATTCTTTTCAGTTTTGGTGTAAAGCCTTTTTTCAATGAGTATGAGGGTATCATTTCAATGGACAGTGTGTGGTTATGTACCAAGGATGTCTCTGGCTTCAGCTGAGCAGGCTCCCTAGAAGACATTTGCATGTAGGCAGCAGCGTTTGCTCTGAAAGGTGGGGCAGACTAGGAGTTGACCAGCAATAGACTCCCAAATAAGCTAAATTCCATTTATTTAACCCTAAAAATCCTTTTTTGAAGCACTCACTTGACATGAAGATACTGATATCACTTTCTGTTTATATCCACATATGCATTTATACTCATAGTGGGTTACAGGTAATCCTTCAACTCCTGTTCTTAATAAAACATGGAGCTCTAAAACAGAATGTTCTTCACCAATGCCTGGAACAATGGTGACTCACTATTTATGCAAGAATTCTTCTCTTCATTCACATGTAGATAGGAGTTGATATTTAATCACCAACTTCATGCCAAAATCAACTCCCTATAATGAGAGAGTGATTATAAAATTGTACTTAGAGAAAATAGTTAATAGGAACCAAAAACAGAAGTTGATACAAATATCCTGTTGTCAACATACATCCAACTTAGACATTATACAGAAGAATTAGGGGACATCACCCTAAGACATAAAGATTTTGTGATAAGAAAAAAATATGATGGTCTATTTATTGATTTATTTACTCAGCAAACATTCACTGAGTACTTACACCGGGTGAAGTACTAGGCATGGAAGCAAAGATATGTCTCCAACCTCAAAGACAATGTGTTTGAGGGGACAGGCCTGTAGACAGTACAGTTCAATGCAATGAGTAGAGTAATGTGAGGTCTGTGCAAAATGCAATTGGATCCCAGGGGAAGAAGAATCTATATTTGGCAGGAGGAGAAAAGGTAACGCTTGAGCTCACTCTTGACAGAGGAGCAGAGTGTTATCAGGCATTCCATGTAGAGCAAACAGCATGTGCAAAGGCCCAGAGGCAACGTAAAGCATTATCATGTTCAGCGAATTATACCTAGTTTATAGGGCTGGGGCAGGAAGTGTGAGGACCGTGTTGGGAGTAAACTGAAGGGGTGATACAGGTGAAATGTTCTGAAGACCCTGAATGCCAGACTGAGAAGTATAGATTTATCTTGTATGAGATGGAAAGCTATTGAAAAAATTCAGACGTAATCAGATGTGCATTTTAGAAAGACCATGCGGTCAGCAGACTGGAGAATGGATTGGAAGTGGGGACAAAGTACTGACCATTAGACTATATATGGTGGTGGTTTTTACCTGCCTGCTTGGAGTAAGAGCACTATTTCATTAAGTAGATACGAACCCTCAAAACTTCAAGAATGAAGGCATAAAGAAATTTTCCACAGAGGCATCTTTCTAAGGAAAATAACTATTCACACTGGGTAACGATCGCTGATTAATTTTGTATGCCCTGTACATACCTTTTAGGGTCAAGAGCTGACATTTCTGGTACTGCATTGAAAGGCTGTCTAGTGTCATAGAAGTAGTGCTACCAGGAGTCAAGAGATCCGCCTTTAGCTCAGCTTTACATCTCAGTCTTTGTAAGACCTTGGGGAGGTACTTTACCTCCTTGGGTCTCAGTTTCCTCAGTTGTAAAGTGAGGGGCGCAGTAAATTATTTATAATGCCATTTTATTTATATCGTGCTGTGATTTGTGATTTTGTTTGCACCTATTAATCTCTCCTAAATGTTTACTTCTTACCTCATCTTCATATCTTTTTCACAATTTTAAGAGGAATTGAAATATTTGGAAGATAATCCCAGGATTTGTTATTTAGGGCAAAATTCTGTTTTTATTGCATTACACGTAACACACTTAGCCTTCCTCCTGGGAATAGTAGGATATTGGTAGCTGCTTTGAAACTGTGGGCTTTCTGCTCACATGAGTCACATTTTATCCTCAAATGAACAAAAAGGAAACTATTTAATCACTTTCAATATGTCCTAGGCTACATTAAGAATTTAACTCTAATTTTAGATTATGGATTTTCCTTTCCAAAATGATTGTTTCTCAGGTCAGATAATCAATCCTATGTTCTCAGAAAGCTAGTATATGGATAAAATTGTGGTCCTTAAAATTATAGAAAGTGTACTGCTTCTAATAATACTCTCCTTATTTTCAATTCCTCATTTCCTTGGAAACTTCCTGTTATTTAATGCCCCCCCCCCTTAAGGGCCTGTTTACATGAGTAATATATATTCTAGAGCTCTGGGAGTTCATAGGGTTTGTACCTACAAAACAGCACAGCACTGTTAACTGTGCTTCAGAGACATACAGGGGTCCCAGGGCAAATCAAAATGTTTTTAAATGTATGACATGTGTGAAGTTGATGAAAATTCATGACTTCCCTCTGCCAGGGCTGCTTGAGCTTAAATCATTCGAGAAAGGTGAGTGCAAAGAATTTTCTTTAATACTTTTAATTCTGAAATCCTTCCCATCCTTGCTAATGGTCCCATGTTTTAGCTCTGTTCTAGTTAGTAGTCTGCTTACAAAAAAAAAAAAAAATTAGCTGCACGCTCCAAATTGCTTTTCAGAATTTCCTGCTTAAACCATGGCTCAGATGTATAACTTTTAAAGAGGAATTGAAATGTGGTTTGAGAATGTAATCACGTACTATAGAACATGCAAAATACATGTGAAAGATCACACGAGTGCTGTTAATTTAACTGATTACACTTTATGCTTTAGACATATTTTCAAATTTATCTTTTAAAATTGAAAAGAAAATATTGCAGGAAAAATTTAAGAGATAAAAAAGCCAAAATGCTGTGGATATTGAGATCAGCTGTTTTTAAGTAAAAATCCATTCAAAGCAAAATAAAAGGCATTGTGCAGTGTGTGCCGGCTTCAACTGAGAACACAAGAGCATTGCAGTTAATTAGAACCGATCAACAGGATGCTTTGCAACATTTCTCACATCAGTGCACCATCTGATCTTCATAATACAGATTTCCCACAGTCTTGATGCAAAAAGGAGTAGAAATAAATATTTGAGTCGTTAAAATATGATGCATTCCAATTGATCTTTCCAATAATTATTTTAGGTCATTGTTATGAAAATAAGATTATGGAAATCCCCAAATGTTATTCCGTTTGTGTTTTAGGGGGATAATCTTTATTACATTTTTTAAATTTTAGTTTTGTATGTGTTTGAACATGAGAAAAAAAATCAAATTTTGAAAATAAAATTTACAGCACGTATTTGAGTTATTATATGATTTATATATGGTTATCGTACTTGTGAATGATTAGTGGGCTTTTCCTGGACTGTTGAACCATATATTGTGAATGATTAATTAGTATATTACTAATAATGAAGTACTACAGTTTAGCTATTTTCATATTAACAGAATACTGAACTAAGTTATCTACATTAACATCTGTATCGTATATGTCTTAAAAGAATATATAATACTTAAAGCTATTATGTTTCTATAAATTATTCAATGCTTGGTTCTACTCAGAAGTTTTACTGTAATTTGATTTATTATTTATCAGGAATTGTTCTACAAGGGCAAAAATATTGCTTTTGTCATCTTTTCATGAAGTTCGTAGTCTATTCATTGTAAATAACATTTGTTTTCCTTTTCTCCCCCACATTCCTTTTTTTGGTGTGTGTGTGTGTGTGTGTGTGTGTGTGTGTGTGTGTGTGTGTGTGTATCAGATTCTTTGTTACATTGTCTTCTCACATTAAAGGTAGAGGTCCCGCAGCCACTGAGGTGCTTCAAAACAGATTCGAAAGTTGGTTTGTTAAAAATATTTAACTTGAATTAGAAACATACATCTTGACAGTAGTTTCTAAGTCCCCGCCTCCCCCATAAAAGCCAATTTGTGAATGTCTTGCAGGTGCCCATTTTAGAGGCAAAAATAGCTCAGAAACTGGTGCTGTAAATAAGAGACTTCTCTTCCAAATGAGTCTATGGTCAGTTCTCCTGTATTTATAAAGTACACCTCCTTGTTGGGAGTAATTTACTCTTCAGACTGCAGTCATCGCTTGCCGAAAAGAAACATGCTTTAGAAAAAAACAAATACAGTCCACGTTTGACTGTTTTTGTTTGTTTCATTTTAGTCTGTATGTTTTCTCCTTTTACATCATACAAGATATTTTTTTTCCTCTCCCAAAAAAGCTTTTTGCTAAATATTTTCTTTCTTGAGTGCTCATTATATATTTCTGTAAAAAGAAAAAACTAATAGTTTCAAAGAATTACCTTCTCTCCAGCACTAAACTTTTTTCTTTGCACTCTTCTTTGATCTACTTCATTGCAGGAGGGTATGTCTTAGCTAGGTTCTCTTTAGGAAATTTACTTTTTCTCCTGTTACAGAGATGAATAGCTTCGATGACAAATACTTTAGAATACTCATCTTACAAATACAGAAAAAGGCTATGGTAGGATGGAAATATTTTTCCTGACTAAAGAGCCTATTAACTATGCAGTGATATTTATGTTCAAAAATTTAAAAACATATTTTCCTGTGAGGATTGGAACACTAGTTACGAATGTTCACTGCTCCAATAAAAAACAGTTTCAATTAATAACAGCCTGAAACTGGCTCTGTTGCATTTAGTGCGATTGATAGGCATTGGAACAGTAATGCTCTAAAAAATGCATATTAAAAGAACTCTGCTTATCTCTAACGTCATTATTTCTTAAAATAAACAATTTAGATAGAAAAGTCATTTGATAAAAATAATTGGTTTGGGCGAAATGGGACTCACATTTTTCTCCCAGATAGTGATTCAGCCTCCACTCTAACTTCAGTGGTACTTCATTAGATGAAATTCTCATTCATCTTAAAGTCTTAAGAAAAAAGCCACAATCTTTGTTTTTAAAAGTGATATGATTTTTTTAAAGTAAACAAATACAGGAGAATGGAATAAAATCTCTAACAGAATTTACTTGCTGTTTTTCAATTCTTTAAAATTTTTCTTAGGGGACAGGAATGTCATATGTTTAGTTTCAGGACAAAAGCACCTTTTTTTAAATGAAGAGATTAAAGAAAATCTAGGAAGAAGTCTATTTAACAGAAAGTAGGCGAACTAGCTTTTGGTTGTAAAAATTACCTAGATTAGAAGATTAGAAAGTGACATATATCTAATGAACTTTCAAACTAATATAAGGATATTCTTTAATACAGAGCATCTTTTAAAAAAATAAATGCAATTGTGACAATCTTTGGAGTTCACTTTGGGTAACATGTCTGGGCATATTGTTTTACCATTTTTTGATGGTTTGCTATGGTAAAGCTGGTTTAACTTTGGAGTTAAGAAAATTTATGTTCAGAATGCTTACAGGTAGTGGTGTTATGCAGTTAAAAATAAGAACAGAAACAAAAACCTTAGAGTCATACAACAGTAATTTAGCAATTATGGATTATTATTGCTATTGTTATTTTGCTTAGAAAATGACCAAGATATACAGATCAGGAATTAAAACAATTCAGGTTCTTATCAATTTATAAAGTGTTCTTTTAATAGTTTAGCAAGTAATTAAAAATCCCTTTACAAGTGATTTATTAATATCCATTTTTATATTCTGAATCAAATGTATTTTAAAATTTCAGATCATTAAATGCTTTTAACTGCTATTGTTTGAAGGTTAAAAATATCTTTTGTAAACTGGTTAAGTTCATTTAAAAGAGTCTTTACATTTATGTAGCTTTTTTATAGAAACAAAGTTAGTAAATTTAATATAACTGTTATTTTGATAAACTTGCAAATGTTTTGTTAAAATGTTTCATTGGGTAATGAAAACAGTTTCATAGATATTAATAAATCTTCATTTTCTTGACTCTTTTCTGTCAATTTTTAATTTCTTTAAAAACATATATTATTTATTTTTAAAAGAATGAGTAAATCTGTTTAGAATTCAACGTTGCCCTAATGAAAGAGAGTTTAAAACCTTCAACAGGGCAGTGAACTATTTCCTTCGCTTTAATTTGTCTGTCTTGTACATGATTTGACAGAACTAACTACTGAAAACTAACCAAAACCAGAAACCAACTGAGGGAATAGTTAAGAAGTAAAAAAGAAGAGTTGCAGGAAATGATATTTTCCCATCAGTGGATAGGCATGCATACATTAAAGGCATAAAAGGCAGCAGGGGGAGAAACAAAAGCTGTATACTGAGGATTCTACAAGCCTGAATTAACTAAATGAAAAAAAAATGAAATCATTCTGCTTAAACTTGTTCACTAATAAAAGGAAAATCGCTTTTGTTAAATATGCTTGGTGTGATTATCAAGCAAAAATTTTTTCTCCCAGACATCTATGAATAAAACATGCATTTGAGCATTAGGTAAACAAACAATAAATGGATGAGTTCAGTTGCAACATAATAACATTTTATTTAGAAAACATATATAATCATATTTGTATTGGCAATCCAAATTTAATGACTTCTTTCAGTAAAATTAAAGTGCCTCACAAATAACATCTTATGCATAAGGATTGCTTATTCTTTGCCCATATTTTTTACTATTTTTTCAAAGAAGCAGATCTTTGAGGTCTCTGCTGAAACATCAACTAGATGAAGCACAATTTCTCAGAGAAAAAAATTTCTTTGAATCATCTTAATTTTAGGTTGTAGATTTTATAAAAACAAATTTTAAAATATATTCCTGTGACTGAGGGAGAGCACGTTCCTAAGTCTGGTGTTACTTGGGCTGATTGGAACAAGGCTCTGTGTATAGGGGAACCACAGTCCTCAGCTTATTAGTCATTTCATTAACACATCTTCTTCTGTAAACTATGAATGAGAAGAAACCATTTACAATAAGGAAAGCAAACAACAGAATAAATTTCCTCTGTTGGTGTTTTATAAGACTGTTAAACAGAAAATGGCGGGAAGAACTCTCTTTAGATGATATCACTTAATTAAGTAAAGCATCCTAATCAGAGTCCCCTCCAATTGTAATGACTGTAGGGAGTCAAGTACATTTCTGTCTATGTTAGAGTCTCTAACTGCAATGATTTATTGATATTTATTTTAGAAGTACAACACAGAAGCAATAACACAGAAGAAGCAGGGAGAAAAGGCACATGCCATGGCTTACTGCAGGTACAAACAGAGCTGTTCGGCCAAATTCCTGATTTTCTTGTGGGAGGTTTTCCTTTCTAAAAATCAGAGCACACCTTGAGATGAGACTGTTCCTTTACTGCCTTTGACTTTTCCAAATATTCGCTGTGATGTTTCTTTGTCCATTGGGTGAATCATTGATTCACTTTCTTCACTGCCAGAATCACCGCAAATGAGTGGAGGAGCACCCGCTGTTTTCTGCGTTGACATTACTGGATTGCAGTCTACACTGATTTTCGTCTTAAAATACAGCTTCTCTGTATGGGAGAGAGATGTGAGGAAGGAGAGTAAATATACTGCATAGGCAGACAGACATTGGCTGCCCTCCAAGCTTCACACAGCATAAACCTGTTTGTCTGCCACATTTCACGAATCTCAAAAACATGTGAATAATCAGGCAAGCAACTGGGTAAGTGATTCACACTAGGGAATCTAACCAGTATTCTGATGAGAGGGTCCTATGAGGCTAAGACATTGGGGCAAATAGACTTGTATTGTAGAAGCTGCACCTAATAAAGTTGATGAATGGTTCAAAGGAGAAAATATTCTATGAATTTGCCGAGGTATCACAACCCTGTGGACTTTGGTTGGGTATTTAAGTGCAAGTTATCTGCAGAACTGAGTTCAAAAATACACTGTCACGCACATCACTCCAATAATTGGGGCCCATGTGCATTCAGACTTCATGTTTGTTGTCAAGATAATTTATTTCTTGATGCCTGGATCTAAATGCTGGAGGCTTGTGCCTTAAAACCCCAAGTTACACCAACACATATATTCGAAATTACCAAACATGCTTAGAACCTATTTATTTGTGGAAGCAAACTTTTCATAGAAAGTTACATTCATTTTTATAATTGAAGATGAATTGCTTGGTAATAAGTGCACTAGGCAAGCAAAGGTACAATTATTGCTATATTATTGCTTTATTTTTCTCTTAATTTCTGTTATTTCTTCCTCCCTTGCTGATCCTTTAACCCCTCTTTTCCTTATTTTAATGGTTATTATGTTTTAGCATTTAGTTGTAAATGGACTTTCTTAAAGGCTTTGGGACTAACCTCAAAAGTATGCTTTGGTTCTGAAGATCTCTTAAGATTGTTTAAGAATTTCAGGCATGGATTACTTCCACAAGCTAAACCTGGTTATAATCACAGCAAGATGAATGACCTATTTGCTTGGTATGTCTGTCTATAGCTTCTAATATAAACCTACCATCTTGTTACCAAGGAACTGTATTACATTACTATTACAGAAAGACAAGCAATCATACAAGACATTTAACTTAATATTGTACACACCTCAACTTTTTTTTTCTGCATTGCAGACAGAAAGGAAAATTGCTAAAACTTTTTGACACTGGAAAACTTTGTTAGATTAGTAACCAAAGACATCAGCATCTTAGCAACTGGAAGCCTTGGAAAAGGTAGGTGACCTGAAAATTGATGTCCCAAATGAAATTTTGCTGTGTTCGAGCTTTCCTGATTAAAGCCTTGTTTCAAAAGGACCATGTTTTAGTCTATGGCCAATTGTATGTACTAACTGCTTTTTTCTTGCCTTGATGTTTTCTCATCTTCTTGCTTCTTGTCTCAGGTTTTCTTTCTCCAGGATCAGGCATAGAGTCTGATTGAATGGCTCCAATTATCAGGACCTGAAAGCCTAATATCAGAATCTACTACTTTGTGTAAGTCTGCCCTGAGCAGTCTCGTCTTTAGCAACAAGAGACTTACATAATATGGGAGCACCTTTTCTGCTTCACTTTTCCCTGGGCTTGTAAGATATGAAACAAAGTTCCTCATGATTTGTAAGTCTATTGCATAGGAAATCTTGCCAAAGACACAACATACAAGTTAAAATGGATTCCTTAAAAAGATATGTGCAGGTAAGTATCAAGGGGAAATTTGTGGGCAGTTAAAAGTGCTATTAAACTTGCTGATGGCCTCATCAACAGTCTGAAGGCTCAACACATTGATTTTTGTAATCACAGGAAATTTTACCCAGCTTTCTGTATGAGATGGATGTTGAGTTTTATGTCCACAAAGCTGAGGTTGCTTCTGTGAACCTCTGTTAAGGTCGACCATAGCTCTTTATTCAGCCATAAAGAACTCTCTTGGAGGATTTTTAAAATGATGGTTATTCTGAGTCAAAAATGATCACTACACCTATATAATCTATACGCCATAGGAACCCAAGAAATAACAGACTGGCTGCAAGTGAATGTTTTAATTATAAAAGCAATACAAACAGGATATAAAGTTTTTTTAAAAAAGTTCCTTTCTTTTCCCTTAGTCCCTTCAATCCCATTCCCCAGTGGTAACCGTAATAATGCTTTCTCATATATTTTAACAGACATTTTAAAATTCACATGCCAGCATATCTTCTTTTAAATCACAAATAAAGTCATATAATATCTTTACTATTCTAAAATTGCTTTTTTTTTTCATTTGGCAATGTATTTTATTCATCATTCCATGCCCTATATATGGGTCTATCTCATTCTTCTAGGAGTTGCACAAGATATCAAATGAAAACCATTCTCATATGATGGATATTTAGGGTTCTTTTTAAGTCTTTGATTTTTCAAATAAGACTTCTGCAAACATGCATATTTTTGTGTACTTTTTTTTTTTTAAAGATTTTTATTGAGGAATTGGGGGAAGGGGAACAGACAAGCTGCTGTCATTTTGTTCTTCAGTCTAGTTGTGGAGGATGTTGCTTCACTGGCCCAAGTTGGCACCATCATTGCGCTCTTCCAGGGGGAGG